AAAACTTTTCTCACCATATGTTTCTAACAGCAAATATAACTTCTGTATGTATCTGTGTTATTAAGTCATGTGCAACATTTTCAGCAACTTGCTGAAGTCCGAAAAACATTGTTTAATCTCACTTGTGGTCTGGCCAAAGGACACTGCTGATTTATAAATGGAGACAGAAGAGGGAAAGCCACTTGCAACCCAGAACTGAGACTTACAGATTTCCTTTTTAGTCTTTTAAACAAATCTGGGACCCGACAAAAATTCTGCTGATTGATAGCAGTAGCTTAAACCATTTGTCAAAAGTGATACACATTGTAGCATAGCTCCCAAACTCTTCCTTTCCTTACCCAAGAACGAGAACACATGTACTAGCTTGCTCAGCATTTAAGCAGTAGTTTGCAGTTGCCAATACACAAAGGCATTTCCTCTAAATGGTTTAGTGCACTGCAGAGTGAACTCAAATCATTGTCCAACTAAAAGCAATTACTTTGATTTAGTCTAGTGCCCATACATGTTACTCAGGAAGAAAATGAGGGAGACAGGTTGTCTTTTAAAGGAAGTTAGGGGGAGGGGGCAGAAAGGGGTGTCATCTTCCATTTTTTTTGGTCTTTTTAATACAAGTGACTATTTCAAGAATTGTATTTGCTAAATTTAAAACACCTGTAATTATTAATTAAAACTTATGGTTTGTGTTCTGTTATGGACAAAGAGCCCCTCATCCCCTCCCCGCAAAGTAGAAAACTAAAGATTGCAAGCCAAAGCATTTTATCCCATGGGAATCTCCCTGGTGAGAGCTCACCCACTGCTACTAAGTAGGAGACTTTTTTATTTCTGTCCTTTTGCAATGTATGTGTTTTGCAAATGTAAATCTCAGAATAGTGTCTCCTGCATTTAAAAAAAAAGGGGGGGGGGGACTTCTGAAAGGGCCTAGCCATTAGCATGGGAGAGGAGACATCTTTCTGAGAACCCTGTCATTTTAAAAGTTATGTAATGGCCCTCAGACTCCAAATATGGGTTATGACCTTCTGGGGTCACTGATCCTGTGACGCTACTTAACATTCACAAGAGTAGCACTTTAGGAGCCTTGATTTTACAAAGACTGTAGTTATCCTCTAAGACTTTACTAAAACAGTTATCTATATGAGAAACTGAAGACAGGACTTACATGTCAAGTGATGAAAGGTTCAACTTCTGTGCTGCAGCAAAACAGTTCCCCTCCCCACCCATACAGACATAGCCTAAGTAATTCTCCCTCCCCAGATCTGAGCTGCAGGAAGTTTCTCTACGGGTTGCTAACCAGGCCCAGCTGAGGAGTCTAGAGGCCAGGCCAGGCCAGGCCACATCCTCCTTCCTGCCTCAGCCTGTCTAGCTCACTGAGACATAGAAAAACTTGGCCCGCTCAACCCCCACTGCTTCAGGCTCTTACCTAAATGAGAACAAAGGGTGCTCAGAAGGGTTCACTGGGTTGCCACATATCTCCAGTCTTTCCCTGCTGACTTTCCTTGGCCTCACAGAGCTCAAAGAGCCTGATGCAACCCCTTTGGAAATCAGTGACAGTGTTTCACTTATTTTAGTTGGCTTTAGATCAGGCCCAGGATGGTGGGAGACCTACCCCTTCCCCTTGTCCAGCCCAGCCCAGCCCAGCCCAGCCCTCTTTTCCTGTCTCAGACTGCTTTGTTGGCTGCAGAACAATACAAACACCGAGACACCCTCCAAGCAGCATTCGTAATAGGTCTGCAGCCAAAATGTGGGTGAAAAGGTGAGACGCTTTATTTGTGACTGACTCCTGCATCCCTGGCATTTAGCAGCTTAGAAGTTGCTGTGAGCGTCAGTGACCAGCAGATTAGTAAAGACTGAGATATGGCCCTCTTGGTAATAGGGTGACCAGATGTCCTGATTTTATAAGGATAGTCCCGACATTTGTTGCTTTTTCTTATATAAGTGCCTATTACCCCCATCCCCGTCCCCTACATTCCTCATTCTAAAGGTTCAATATAAGAGGGTTCCTAGGAATGGCTTATTCCTTGATGGCATATGATTATAGAAATCCTACATAGCAAGGCAGATCTTGCTCTCAGTTATAGGAGTGCCAGCCCATTTGCAAGACATGCACATCTGCTGGATGTCCCTGCTAATGCACTGTGTACAAGGGGAGAGCTAAATTTTCATCATCTCTATTGGAAATACATCCTACACACAAAAAAGACGTGTTATTACCCTCTATGGGGACATTACATGTTCATGAGGGGAAATCCTTTGTGCGCATGAATGTATCCATAAAAAATGGGACATGGCACAATGGCACTCTTAAATTTACACAATCGCCCCTCCTCTCTGCTCCTTCTCACTTGTCCAAATCCCTTCCCCATCTAAAGGATTTTTCCCCATCCAGTCACTCACAATTCCTCTGTCCCCCCCGCAGAACCTTCACCTTCTGTGGCATAGATTTGCCAGCATTATTTGAACACCCTTAGCCACAAATGGAAATCTGGCCCAAGCAGCCCTAGATTTTCTTGCCAGCTTGGTGCTAATGCAGTTGTCAATGCAGTATTTAACGCCCCACCCCCAGCCCCTGCCCCTGTTTCTAGTTAGAGAGCATGGGTGAACTCTGGACCCCAATGAAGTGAAATCTCCCTTCCTGCAAACTGGGCTTCTGCAAAACAGATACAGTAATCTGGATTGACACATTTCTTGCCATCTGAGCACTAATCTGGCTCCCAATTGAAATCAATGGGATTCTGCCCATTGCCTGTATTGACAGCTAGATCAGGCTCTTGGTGCCTGACAGGCAGATAGAGCGATGTGATTTTTTTTAAAGGAGAATTCTACTATCTGAATTGATAGCAGAAATAGAAAAGGTCCAGAGCAGAGCAATGCAAATGATTAGAGGCATGAGACAGCTTCCAGACGAGGAGAACGTATAAAAGCTGGGAGGAAGATGAGTAAGTGACACAGTGGAGGCACGTAGAGTAATAGGGAGAGCACAGCTGTCGGGTGCGCCCGTTGATCCTCTCTGCTAATACAAGAAACAGAGGAGCCACAATGAAATTGAAAGACCCCCAAACCTAAGACTGATAGAAATAATTCATTTTACATGATGCATAATTAGTCAGTGAAACTCAGTCAGAGATAGAAATGAGGCCAAAGATAGGATCCAAATTCTATTTTTGCGAATAATAAAAATAGCCAGTTTCATTAAGCTCGGATAAAAATGTAGAAGGGTTATAAACCCTTATGTGCCAAGCACTCACTGCCTGAGATGAAGAGGAATATTCTCCCATAGACATGAGTGCATAGCTGTTCATTACAGAGACCATACACTGTGAAGCATTGGGTACTAGCACTGTCAGAGACAGGATATTGGATTAGTGGGCTCATTGGGCCAACCTAGCATGGCAATTTGTAGGATACCCTTTCCAGCTCCAATGTTCTTCTCTGGACCCCCAGATACTTCGGAGTGGCCATAAGTGCCTACACAGACAGGCTCACATTAGACAGCAGAGAGCCTTCTGCTCCTTACCTCTGCTGCTGGTGTTTTCAGCACCTTGCCCCTGGCCTTTGCTGGCTCTCTGAGCTGCCTGCCGCAGTGCAGTTCTCAGTGTGAAGTAGGGAGTGGGGGTTGTGTTCCCAGGGACAATGGGAGGTTGAGCCATGTTCCCAGCAGTGGTGAGCTGCCACCGGTGGGAGCTAGGAGTGTGGAGAATGAGTTGCTAGGCTATTAAAAAAATGCAATATATGGAATGCCCCAGAGCGTTGCTTGCTGGGTAACAAATACTTAGGGAAATACCAAGAGCCACTCTGCTAACCTGGGTTTGCATTTAATTTCTTTGATTACTCTGCTTCCTGACTAGGGCTTTCTAGAGCAGCTCTCCTGTCAGCTGGGGTGGTTAAACCTCCTGAAACCACTAGTTCCTTTTCTGTTTTAATGCACATTCTCTAGGTAACCTCCTTGCAGAAGATGGTGTCTTAGAACAAGCACACAGACTGTATGCGTCTTGTGCCCGTCTGCTTTGGTAGCCAAAGGCAAAATTCTCTGCTTTGGAACTCCTGGATAACTCCTACTGACACCAGCAAAGAGCAGGGTTTGGCCCATAGTCTACTACTACATTAAGTTCTGTTGTGCCTTTCCCCCACTGTCCCCTCAAAATCAAGCTGATGTTTATCTTCCCCAGTTCCTCCTGCTGCCAAACCATCAATTTGGGCAGACGATAGTTAATTTAAATGAGACGTTGCTTGATATAGCAGATAACAGATGGAGACAAAAGACAGCAACTATCCGGAGTGCTTCTCTATTGCTTCTATCTATAAATGTTTCTTTATGCGAAAAATATGTTTCAGTGCAGTGAGCTCTCCCCTGGATATAACCGTAGCTGTACATTTAAGATCTACTCCAACAACTCCCAGCTCAGTAGCCCTTTCGGGCCCGATTTTGCAGAACTACAGAAATCAACAGGAGTTTTATCAAAGTCAGGTGTGCAGGCCTGGGCCAAAACATATTTTAGTGAGACTTACTTAGCTCCTTAGTTTTCTTATTTTCTAACATTTTTATACAAACTAAGGGTCAGATCCCGCACACATTGGTGTCAACAGCAATATTCCCATCGATTCCTATGGGTGTGAGGCAAAATCTATAGGCTTGATACTGCATTGGGATCTATTAGCACAGACTTCTGTGTCCATGAGGACTTCACTGGCACTTTGCGTAGGTCCACGTCAGCGGCCCCTGCTGAATGAATAGGGCCTAAGACATATGGGAGACTGGCAGAGAATACTGAATGTTCACAAAATACAGCTGCTACTATCACATGGGAGGTACCATTTATTTGTATTATATCAAAGCAAGAATGACATCAGATCAGAGAGTATTTTTGTACCGCAGTCCTAAAGAATGATGGAGAATTGGGATTCAGGCATAAAGTGAGTTGCTCAAAAAATGTTATTGGTAATGTGTGCATGTGAATATAGTAATGCAGATTATGCTGTCATTCCAAAATGTACATCATGCTTACCCATTCTTTTATATATATTTATCTGCCACAGGCTCAGTTTTCCCATATTGGTGCTTCTCTTCATGCTCGAACGCCTTACATCTACAGAGTCCCCGAAGAGGCAAAATTCTATTTTCTAGTACTGAACATAGTGTATGGAATCCTTCCCCAACTGCTGGCTTATAGGTGTGTCAACAAACCAGAGTTTTTTATGAAAGCAAAAGAAGAAGAAAAAGCTCAATAGAAAGATTGCCTCCACCTCTTCTTTTTTGCTATGTATATACTTGGTTTTTGAGGTAACTGGGCTCTCTTATAGACTCCAAATGACATGTGGTTTATCAAAAATGTGTAAGATTGCCCAGTCCGCTTTGTGTATCATTACTGTAAAGAGAGAAAATAAAGGCAACTTCAGTTAACACTTCTCAACATTTTGCTTTTACTCTGTTGTGGAGATAATTTCTAAAGCTATTCTTGAGTAAGTAAGCAGTTTGAGTTTTTTTATTAATACCACATGGAGTTAAGTAATAATTATTTCAATGTTCTGCCTGCACAGACTACTCCTGGGGGAATTCTGCGCAATGCAGAATTTTGCAGAAATTAATGTTGTGCGTGCAGAATTTCCTTTCTTCCCCACAGAAATGGGCTGCAGAGCTGTTGGCCGTCACTAGGGTTCGTTGGACCCGGCAGAGCCCAGCTCACAAACAGAAGACAAGGCTGGGGGAGAGGGAGGGAACTGGAGGGTTCCCAGCAGCTGCAATTCCCAGCATGCCCTGAAGGAAAGAAGCGGTGGCACGCAAGAAACTCCGTGCAAGACTGGGACCCAGCATCAGGCTGTTTCTCCCTCTGTATCCCTAGCCTTTGGGGGGGGGAGAGGGGGGTGTGAGTGTCTGGGCTGGGGAGGCATGGCTGGGCTCTGGAGGGGGGCAGAGGGGGTGAGTATTTGGCCCCCCAATTGGGCTCTGGGGGAAGTGGGCAGAGTAACAGGAACCAGGTTGTTATAGGGGTTTCTTTAATTCTCTACTCCTGTTACAGACATACTTGCTGACAGGTATTTTGAAATAAATTACCAAAATAATTGAAACTGGTGTGATTATATAGTATTATTTTGACCAATAAAATTTGCAGAATTTTTAATGTGTTGGTGCAGAATTCCCCCAGGAGTAACAGACTGGATTGTTTCAGCATTACCAACTCTCATAAAACTAGGGTGGATTGTTTTGGTTAATATTTGGAAGTGTGAACAATTAACATACATCACTTGGTTACGTACATGTTTTATTGATCAAAAAGTATTTCTTGCAGGTCAGTCCTGTTAAAAATCCTGAGAAATCTTGTAGAGAAGACTCTCTACATGTGAAAGGCAAATCATGTGGTTGTGGAAATGCTGTTTAAGCGTTCAGTCCTGTTCCGTGCTGAGCCCTCCAGGTCTCATCCAACAAAGCATGTATGCACATGCTTAATCATTGAAATTGACAGGACTGTTCACATGCTTAACGTTAAGCACATGGTTAACTGCATTGGTGTGTGTGTGTGTGGTGGGGGGGGGGGTCAGAGGGCTCAGCACTTTGGAGAATCCAGGCCTTAAACATTTCCAGGTGTTTTCAGAATGGAGTTTTTCCACTGAACTTCTCTACACAGCTGCTTTTGCTACTGATATTTTGCCATAAACAAGTAGCAGCTAATATACAATTTAGTAAGGTCTTGGCTGGTGGGGCTTACGTTTCTATTTGCAGTTAGAAGTATTTATATTACATCTGAATATCTTTATACTAAAAATAGTACAATTCTGTCTCATTTATGGGTGAAAATGGAGGATAAACTTAATTGGAAACATTTCATACTTGGATATTTTAGAAGTTCTAAATTTGGAGGGTTCTTTTTTCTTTTTTATAGTCTAAACACAGATTCGGCTCATTCATGTGCATGTTTCAACCTATACGGGGGGATTTTCAAAACAGGAAGAGATTCATACAGTAACTCCTCACTTAAAGTCATCCCGGTTAAGGTTGTTTCGTTGTTATGTTGCTGATCAATAAGGGAACATGCTCGTTTAAAGTTGTGCAATGCTCCCTTCTAAGGTCTCAGCAAGCTGATCTAATTAACAAGGCAGTGTACTTAAAGGGGAAATGCGCATCTCTCTCTCTCACACACACACAGTGTGTGTCTCTGTCTCTGTCTGCGATGCTGTCTCCCCTTCCTCCATTCCTGCTGCCTTGTAGAATGTGAGAGTTAACCCTTGAGGGCTCAGCCAATTGCTAGTTCATCACTTAGCAGTAAGGCATTCCCTGGAAAATATCCCACCCTCTGACTCCTCCACCTCAACCAAGCTTCACAATCATCATCAGTGTGTACCAGTATTGTTTGTTTAAAACTTATACTGTGTGTGTGTGTGTGTGTGTGTGTATATATATATAAAATGTAGTCTTTGGTGAAAAAAAATTCCCTGGAACCTAACCCCTTTATTTACATTAATTCTTATGGGGAAATTGGATTTGCTTAACATCATTTCGCTTCAAGTCGCATTTTTCAGGAACATAACTACAACGTTAAGTGAGGAGTTACTGTACTTTAACAGGAGAATGTCAAACTCTGAGGGGAAGTTCACAGCCGTGGTCAGAAGAGGGCATTTGTGCTTTAGAACTCTAGCCAAAAGGGCAGGATTCAAGACTCCCAGAGTATGTGTTGGTTGCAGTGTTGTTGTAACTGTGTTGGTCCCAGGGTATGAGAAAGACAAGATGGGTGAGAAGCTCTGTGGAGCTTCAAAGCTTGCCTCTTTCTCCAATAGAAGTTGGTCCAATAAAAGATATTACCCCAGCCACTTTGTCTCTACTGTAGCACGTCAGTCACATAGGAGCCGACTCCATGGGTGCTCCGGGGCTGGAGCACCCACAGGGAAAAATTAGTGGGTGCTCTGCACCCACTGACAGCCAAGCTCCCCATACCTCCCGCCCCACCTCCTCCTCTGCCCCTGAGCGTGCCGCGTCCCCGCTCCTCCGCCTACCTCCCAGCGCGTCCCGCCCATTAGCATGCTCCGGGAGGAGGGAGGGAGAGGAGCGGGAATGTGGCACGCTCGGGGAGGAGGTGGGGCCGGGGTGGGGATTTGGGGAAGGAGTTGGAATAGGGGCAGGGAGGGGGCGGAGTTGGTGCAGGGACTTTGGGGAAGGGGTTGGAATGGGGGCGGGGGCCTCATGGAAGGGGTGGAGTGGGGGCAGGGCCGGGGGCAGAGGGGGGGGGGGGTTGAGCACCCACAGGAAAGCGGGGAAGTTGGTGCCTATGGTCAGTCAATGTTTGACTGGCAGAAAGGAGCTCAAAACATTTATTTCCTCCAGAACCCAAACTTCCTGGGTGTGGAGTCCTCCTTTATATATTTGAATTCAGGTCAGCTCCATCCCAGCACATTCTCCCCAAGAAAACAAAAAAAGAGCTGTTCAGCCGTCGTAGGATATACTGTCTCACAAACAGGTATCACGGCCCCAATGTTTCCTCTAGTGCTTTCAAAGAAACTTTGAATATGGTCAAGGTGAATTTAATAACCTCCTGTTATCCAGGAAAAAAAATAGCAATGTACAGAAAAAAAAATCTCACCTGGACTTGTATCTATTATTGTCAACTCAGTGTTAACAGAATGTTTTGCTTTAATACTTGAGTTACATTAATACCTCACATTATTACACGTATGAAGCCAAATATGACGCTAACTTAGTTGCTTACAACCTCAAACCTTACTCCCAATACACATTCCAATAAATTTATTCTGTAAAAACAATACATTTTTTGTTTTGTTTGTTTTTTGTTTTTTTTGTTTTGTTTTTTACAGTAAACTTGTCAACTACAAACCTTGAATACGCAAAAGATGTTCCAAGGACAAGCATAACAAGGATTGATAAAACCAGACTAAATATGTTTTCACAATAAAAGCTGGCATAAAAATAAATAAAATTCTCTATTATCACAATAGCAACAATAATGTACACAGAATAATGGTTTTGGAATGCTTACTTCCTAGTCTAGATCTATTTCCAAAATTAAAAACAAAAAAACAAAAAACAAAAACAGAAGAATGACAGGATCCTTTTTTTAAGCCTTTCAATACTGAACATTTGATGTTTTGGTTTGGTTTCATAGGGTTTCTGTGTCACAATAAGCTTAGAAATGGAAAACTTCCAAATGAATGAGCTCAAATTGTGTTGGCATTGGAAAAAATCCTTGTATTAATCTAAAGAAACACAAAAAGACTTTCACTAACTCCACATATAGGTACTAAGCCAGATAGTGTACATTACATCGTGATTTTGAGAAATATTAACGAGTATAACTAGCTAGGTACTTCTAATAAGGAAAGATATTTTATTACAGTATTGACCTTTGCAATGATCTCAGCTGAAGAAGGATTTTTCTTTTATTTTGTAAACGGATCAAAAAACAAGAAAAGATGGATACGGTGTAATTTAAAGTTATGTTTGTAGGTGGAATAGATTCTTGTGGTCTTGTATGTAGGGGACTAATTCCTAAGGTTTGCTTGTTTTACAAAAATGCAGATTTTGAACGATTTAATTTGGAGTTTCTGCCTTTACTCTTTAGAAAAGGCTTCTACCACATGTACAACTCTGCAACGTCTCCATAAACCTCAGTCACTGGAAAAGGGCAACTCCATGCAACCAAATAATATGAAAATCAAAAGATATCCCTTAGAAAAAGGGTAAAATGTCATTTCTGCAAACACAACAGATAGGAATGTGAATAATGTGCATACAAACTGGGATGCTGTTGATGATACCAATGAATAGATGTGCTGACTCATATCAAATCCAAGAATATTAGACAACCAAACACGTAACCTTCTTGTGTTTTCCCTTCATGTCCAGCAGTCATTATGTTGGTTAAGTCTGAAAGAGAGAAAAAAAATTGTATTTAATGTAAGATTTAATGCATCAAGCTGCAGAGAACAAGATTCAAATGAATGCCTCATCTTTACATTTCAGAGCTACAGTTACATTAACTTCATGGTACTTTTTTTTTTTTTAAGGAAACAGTTTGTGTTGCATCATAAACACACACTATCACATTAAAGAACCTGGCTTGAGCATTTAGGGCTTTATTAAAAAAAAAACGCTTTGTTCCATTTATGTTGGTAGATTTTGTCATTCATCCCGCCCCATAATATCACTATGAAAGGTACAGGATACACCAAACACAACCAAGTTCTGTAGTTTTCTGTTTCATCAAACCTTTGGTATGCATCACGCAAAAGGTTAGACCACTGCTCTGTCCACAGGAGCTCCTGGGCCTTGCAAGAAGTCACTAGAAATGGCTGTGTGTTCTGCTCAAGCAAATGAACACTTGCCCACAACGAAAGAAATACAAAAACGGAGGGTGTGTATGTTATTGCTGAAGATATAGCCTGGCTTGGAGCTCTCCGTGGGATGAAAAACATAGGAGGAAGAAACTCCCATGTTACTACTGAGTCAAGGCCAGCTCTTGCGCCCATTAACATTAATAGGAACATAATCCGTCCCTTTCTGTGTGGTCATGGCAAGTCTCTTGTCTTCATGTCTCAGTTTCTCCATGTAAAACAGTTACCTACCTCAGAGGGATCCATTAATTTTTGTCTCTCACACGGAAGATGCTGTATGAGCACTGCACAGTCAGGTGGGGTTTCCCTTTGGGGACTGTTCTAGAAATCACTTGTCAAGAAAGGATTCGGAGCATTACCTGGCCTATCCACCCACCCACAAATTACTGACGAAAGAACCACACCACACACAATCAATGTGAAGCAATCAACAATATATTTGTTTTTGTTCATTCTGAAAAAAACAACATCAGGAAAAAGGGGGACAGAGGGTGAATCCACAGGGAAGAGCGCGATTTTCATTTTACACAGGATCTGGAAGAGAATAGGAGAAAGAAAACATTTTAACACTGTAGCACTAGCAGCTCCCTTCCTGAGCTCTCGCCCTGTACAACCCCCTGCGGCAGTGTTCTTCATCAATCACACCATGGCTGGGGGTGAGCATGTCTCTCTGACCCAAGCTGTCTACTGCTGCCAGCTAAGGGAGCTCACTAGCACAATCGACCCCCAGTCCAGTTGTGGCCTGTAGCTGCTTATGGCTCTTCGGAACAGGGACCGTCTTTTTGTTCTGGGTTTATACAACAGCTAGCACGGTGAGGGCCAGGTCTGTGACCAGGGCTCCAAGGCACTCTGCAATACCAATCTAATTAGTAGAGTGCTGTGCTTTTGTTCCTGGTTTCCGTCCCCTGCCCATGGTAGGGGTTGTTACAAAATACGTCCCATACTGCATGCCAATGTCCTTCACGGCCTTTCCCCATCCAGTTCCCAGGGCAGTGATGCTTTGCTCTCCAAAGCTCCACACTAACTCTCTTCTCTCTCCTGTTTATGCGTCGCTTGCTAAGGTTATACTTACAGGTGCTTCGGAGCTTTTGCCTGGAGATGCTCTCACTGCTGTTGTGCTTCCTTCCGGAGGGAGGTGCAGACACCCGTTAAAACAATTAAAGGCCTTTTACTACAAATCCCTACTGACATGTTGTTCTCCCGCATGAACAAGAGAGGCGGGGGCTGCACTGGTCAGTCCCTACAATAAAAACGTGACATTAAATATACAAAGCTATCCCACCGTAGTGTTAAGGCTTTGCTCTTGCCAAGGCTAACGTGCCCATGGGGTTGAACTGAAGGGGCAGTGGTGGCAGCCACTACTTGCTAGGGCTCAGTCGCACGTTAACGCTGCAACTCCTCCTCACTGCCCAGAATTACAACTTGAGTGCTGGGCCATAGCTTAGCACATGAGATGGATAAAGACAAAGGGGTCGGATCATCCCCTACCTGGCTGCTGCTGCTGCACAGGCGACAGAAATCCAGTCGGATACAGCCCCCCGCCCATCACAGGGCACGGCCTGCCTACTCGAAAATGTAGCAGGGGGTTTGGCCCCCACGCCAGCAGCTCCCCCGATGGTCCACACTGCCCTCAAGAAATCTGCAGGGACCCCTGTGCCTCTGCTCGGGTTCCTTGATCTACCCACTGTTCCTGCTGAAGCCATGTTGCCAGGCTCCCCCACTGGCTGCTGTCCCAGAATCCGCCTTCCAGAGCCACTCCACTGCATTGATGGGGCAGAGGTTACGTTAATGCTGACGCTAGCAGTGTTTACATACTTGCTAATGTCCTATGGGTAGGGCCCTCAAATTCACGGCCACGAAAAACACGTCACAAACCATGAAATCTGGTTGTTTGTGTGCCTTTACCCTATACTATACAGATTTCACATGGGAGACCAGCGTTTCTCAAATTGGGGGTCCTGACCCAAAAGGCAGTTGCAGGGGGGTCGCAATGTTATTTTAGGGGGGTTGTGGTATTGCCACCCTTACTTCTGCGCTGCCTTCAGAGCTGGGCTGCCAGAGAGCGGCGGCTGTTGGCCGGGCACCCAGCTCTGAAGACAGCGCCTCTCTAGCAGCAGTGCAGAAATAATCATGGCAATGGCATCCCAGGCCACCTTTACTTCTGTGCTGCTGCTGGTGGCGGCTCTGCCTTCAGAACTGGGCTCCGGGCCAGCAGCCACCGCTCTCCAGCTGCCCAGCTCTGAAGGCAGTGCCGTAAGGCAGAAGTAAGGGTAGCAGTACCACAACCCTCCCTACAATAACCTTGCGACTCCCCCTCCCCCACAACTCCTTTTTGGGGTCAGGACCTGTACAATTACAAAACTGTGAAATTTCAGATTTAAATGGAAATCATGAAATTTATGATTTTTAAAATTCCATGACTGTGAAATTGACCAAAATGGATTGTGAATTTGGTAGGGCCCTACCTATGGGACTTGGGGGTAGTGGTGGGCATGATGCTGCAGGGAGCAGCCAGCACCACAGGTCTGATCAGAGAGCCCCATCCCCATGGAACTGATGGACAGAGGATTATGATGCTGGGAGGATGGCTATCCCCCTGCTACCCTACCCTGGTATCCACCCTGCCCCAGATCAGCAAGGGTTTCATTCCTTCAACAAGACGGTGTCCACACAATGACAGTGACAACTTTGAGTGCCTTTATTTGCGTTGCTTTGAGTCAATCACTCATCTTGCTAGTAGAGTGCAAAACCACCCTGGCACTGAAGCAAACAAAACTGGCCTGAAAATCAGGGATCTGAATCCAGCTCCCTGCTGCACCACCATTCCTGTTGCACCTACTGGAAACTGGGCACAAAAGAATCTGGCCTCCTGTAGGTAAAAAATATGTGTGGAGTCAGTTAAGTTGCACATGTAAGTATGGCAGGAGAATAGAGAATCCAGTCAGAGAGGCTCTAGTGGCCTGGGCGTAGGACTACTGCCAAGTTTAAATCCCAGTGCTGACACTTCCTCCCTATGTGGTGTTAGGCAATTCACTTAATCTCTCCGTGCCTTAGTTTCTCTACTTGTAAGATGGGAATAGTGACATTTGTTTACCTTCTTCATACATGTGTTGTGACAAATAATTGGGCATCAATTTTGAGGTCACAATGATTACAGAATCCAACCCTTAATAAACAAGCTGTGACACAAGGTTATTATTGTAGTAGGAAGAGCTCCTGGCGGCTATTACTGAAGTCTATGTATTTGTTATATTTCACAGGAGTCACTAGAAATGTTGGTCTTCCACTAAAACACCATCGTTAACCAATGTCTCAGCCACCAGCTCTTTTGAATATGCTCTCTCAGTAGTAATGGTATCAGATGATAACCACTCTGGACTGGATTGTAACTACTTACCTCACACTAGCATGAGCAGTTACTCCCATGAGTAGTTCCACTGCCTTCAGTCACAGTCTCTGATCACCACTGTGAGTAAGGAGAGCACCTTTAAACCTGAGAGTCCCTGGGCTGTATCAGGGGAAACCCCAGCTGTTTTACTTCAAACTAATGCCTTATTTTTCAGAGTCCATAGAACTGTCCACCCCCTGAATGGTGACATTATTCATCCTCACACAAATGAAAGGATGCAAAGCCTGTGCCTTGCTTTTGATTAAAATCAATTCCACGTATCAGGACATAGTCTAAAGTCCATCACACAAGCCAAGCAGTGGCACTGACATTCAAATATATCCCGTCACAAAACATTTAGGAGTGTGCTTCACAAAGCCATAACAAGAGTCTCCAGAGTAGTAAAATGGAAAAAAAAAAGTATGTCTCCAGTTACATTTAAGAGTCATAGCAGCCGAAACCCAAAAACACAACTCACAGGAGGTTTAGATACGCAATGGGAATCTGCTTTCACTCATTTACCAGCTCGTTTTATACTGTAAAAGCTAAATGCAACGAGAAATGAGAAATGTTACACAGGAATATTCTGCTTAGAAGGTATTTTGAGGAAGCCTAAGCATAGGGACGCAGCTGAGTATTTAAAAGCGAAGGACTCTCTATCCAATGGGCAAGCAGTCTCAGTGGCTGCTAGCTTATAGAAGCTCTGTTAAGATCCATATTAGCCAATAGCCTTTTGAGGTTCAGGTACAAGATGCAGTAATTCTGGGGTACCGTTTTGGAGAGGCAGCCATGCTAACAGCAGCAGCCAGCGACGGGAGGCAGAGGACCCTGGGAATAGCTAGGAGGTTAGTATGAATTTAGCAGCAAGCCTACAAGAGGAGCTGAACCTCTGGGCTGGTGTGATAGCCAGCAAGCCTGGCTTATGTTCTAATATCAGGGTGGTGTTTCTCTGGCTAAACAAGGATCAGTCAGATGGCGAAGGTTTTAAAAGGGCGCTATGACCCAAAGGCACACGTTGATCTCCTACCTCTCAGTCAAAGCAACGATGATTATTTTATCAATAATGATGATAAAAGACAAACCCTGTCCCCTTTGAAGATGGGAGAGGTGCCTTCAGCACACTGGAAAAGCATCCGGGCACTATATAAATGGAGTGACTACTGTACTATTATGGGTTACTCATGCATGGCCAAAGGAGGATGCATGCTGGGAGCACCAGAGATATGCCCTCCCCTGGGCAGTGCTGCAGTTAAGTTGAGAGGAATGTTTTTAGGCCTCCCACCAGTCTAGCAGGTTTCCATGGCCTTCCAAAGCTTGGGAAGCCATGAGGCTAGGCAGGGATCCTTGCATGGATCCAAAATGGCGGGGCTGACCACGCACATTCCAGAGAGCAGCGTTAAAGAGGCCGTTTGTTACGTATAATTAGAGGTGCCAAAGTCAGCATCTTTTCCACACTGAAAACTGTAACAAAACAACTAATTTTCTAATTCCAGTCTTGCACAGGACCCTGAGCTTCCCTGTGATGAAAAGAGCAGCTTACGGTATATTTTTGTATTATGTTCCTGGCACCTTCTTATGACCAGATAAACCCACTAAGCTTGATTTTCCTCCCCACATAAACCAGGTTTAAGTTTACTGAGGTAAAGGAAGTTGCATTGGGGTAAGTGAGAAGAGGAGCAGGCCCACTCCGTTCAAGTTGCACATTACTGTTCAAATGTTCTTTCATAGATTTTAAGGCCAGACCATTAGCTCAGCTAGTGTCACCTCTGGGTGAAATTCTTCGGTCTGTGATATATCAGTTCCCTTGCCTTGAGCTCTATAACTTGTGTTTGACTAAAGTACATCTTCTAGAAAGGCATCCAGTCTTGATCTGAAGACATCAAGAGATGAAGACTCCATCACTTCCTTGAAACAGAACTTTAAGAGCTACTGGAAAGCTCCGAAGAGAAATCCCAAGGAGGACTGAGGGTGAAATTTACTCAGTGTACAGGGGCGCAGAAGTCCCTTAGCACAGCAGAACCACAGTGGTTCCATTACATATGAGGTGGGCTGCCACTAAGTAAGCATGACTGGGGACGCCATGCCCCCAGTGCTCTTTATCAGCCCCTCAGAAACTGTGAAGTGGCAGTGTCTGTAGTGGCCTGGGGACAGCTGTGAGTGAGTGATTACAGTGTTTATAAATCCCCATGGAGGAGATGTGCTGGGATTGTGGACCCTATTTCAGCACAGGGCTTGGAAGTGCTGCAGGACAGCGCCTCTCCCTGTGTGTAGATTAGGATGGTGGATTCCATCCCACTCCAACCTCCATGGAGTTATAACTCTCTCACACATTTTATGCCATAGTTACTCACTGAAACTGGTCCTTAAGTATTTCAACCCTGACCAAGAGAGACTAGGTACCCAATCCTGAAATTTGAAAATTCATCCGGTCTTATTACTACGAGCAGGCAAAACTCCATGCATGGTAGCACCTTCCGACCATACTCTGAACATGGGATGTAGCCTACCGCTATGTTACTCCCACAAGTATGTGTCTTGGAGTCTGACCGAAGCATTTGGCATACGCTTTGCACCAATCACCACCCCTAGGATCAATGCTGACTTAGTGTTCCGTATGCAAGTGACAGAGCCAGCCCCAGTGTACTGGAGAGCATGCCCAGTGGTTAAAGAGTATAATCATGACAAACCCCACACAATTACAAAGAACTCTGAAGCGGGAGGTCGGAAGATACATTTGAGTGTGCGGTGTCCCACTGCATCGTTCCCCACAACCAGGCCTGTTACCTGTGCGGTGTGAACGGCGTAGGACAATACAGAGCAGGAGTAATTGTTTTTTTAAAGGTGGCTGCTGTTCGCCCATTTGGACAGGCCAGGATATGATATAAACACATCAAGACACATCCGTTCTCCTGACCAACTCTCTCCCTGTCTGTTGCTGGGCTCATAGTAACAATGCGAGGGAGTGCAGTGGGCACAAGTGCATATGGATAAAGCTTGTGAGGGATGTGCAGGTTATTTTTTTGTGCCAGCTGCCGTGCTGCTCCGGGGCACAATGCCATTATATGCCCCTTTCAGCATAGTGAAACCCAAAGCAGGATCAGCCCAGGAACCTGCATGCACACGGCCTGATTCTCCTCTGACTTACGCCTGTGTGAATCAGAAGCAGCTCCAAAGAAACTGGCAGAATTATGTAGGTGTAAATCACGTGAGAGAACAAGCAAGTCCACTGCATTTCGTAAGTCACCGTACAGCATGCACAGGCCCCGATTCTGCTCTCACCTCAGTTTTATATCAGTGCAACTTAACTGGAGCTACTCCTGATTTACACTAGGGTCAGTGAGAGGTGAAATCATGCCCACAGTGTTTGCTAAGGCTCGCTCACTCATATAGGTTGAAATTCATCCCTGTGCAGGGCCAACGCCACTTACACCCTCACAGCAGGAGTTGAGCAGGACTTATGCAGTGTGTATATGCCTCTGCACAGGGTGCACTTCACCGCTGAGTCTGAGATCTGTGGTAACAAACTGCACACAAAGGGAATGTGAACGGAAGATTACCCCTTCACTGGTTTTCTGCAAATCTGAAGAAGTGTTTCTTGTGTCATTGCCTGCGTCTCCCGCATCAGAGCTGCTCTTATTTTCTTCCTCTTTGCAGTCCTTATCATCTTCATCTCCGGGAGATTTCCGTGACTGCTTGGAGGATTTCTAAACAGATCAACAACACAGTTAACAAACAAAAACCAAACTTCAGAGCGAGAAAGACGTAGCTTGTGTTTTACAATGCGCGTGCGAGTCCATTCTTCTTGTCCTAGCTCATGGGCCCCTGTTTGAAGCTCTTCCTAGATACAGTCAATGGGGGTGGAAAGCATAGGTTGGTTTCAGCGTTCAGATTTACAGCAATCGATGAAACAAGAGGAGAAATTAACAGCTGACATAGGTGGGTAGCACTGCTAATCAGAGGTAGAGATGGTAACAGCAGAAGGGTCATCTGTAGGTTTGGTAGTTAATGAAATGATGGTGCCAGATTGACAAAAGTTTTGATTAAACACAGAGGTGCAAAACGAGAGCAGAACTGACAGAGTTGCTTTCCATACTTTCTTAGTGCTGTCAGTTTTAATATATTAACATTAAAGCCATATGGAACCAATACATCTTTCCTCTTCCCTTTATGTTATGCAATTCTCCAGCACAAAGGGATAGGTTGTGGTTTTAAGCCACCATCCTACTAATTCTCCATTCGTCCAGAGTCTTCCAGAAAAAAAAGAGGGTAGATAAGACCTGAATTTCTAAAGTGAAACACACACGACCGGGGGGGGGGGGGGGGAAATCTTTGTATGTGTTTTTTTTTAAACCTACAAGTTCCTGAGTGCTGAGATCTAAGGTTTTTGTTCAGGTCCCAGCCCATCTCTAATGCAAAGCTCAGCAAATCTGAAACTAGCCCCCAAATAATTAATGGAATATTTTTCAGTGACATTGTAAGAGGCCAGATTAATAAGACAAAATAAATCAAGCATTAATTCTTATAGGGGATTCTTTCCCTTGATTTCAGTGGGCTTCAGATCAGGCTCGTGATTAAACCAGGTTGAAAAAAGAAGAAGAAGAAGAAGAAGAAGAAGAGCAAAGCCATCTTGAGCTGTTCTTGAGAGCACATTAATCAAAACATGACTGTTCTGGCAGTTTCATCATACACGCGATTATAATCAGTGCCCATGTATTCCACAATTCTACAGTCATAGATTTTACTGTGGAATCCAGCCCTTGTTGCAGAGTCATACTACAGAACCCAAGATTTCATTAAAAGAAAAATATGGGCCATATTGTGCTACCGATTTTTAACTCTCTGGGAGCTCTGCTTAAAACCGATGGCATGATACGGCCCTATGTTTCTAGTTCTTATGGTTGTGAAAATAACCTTGAAATGTGAACTGAGTGTAAATCAAAGCAGACAGCTTAAAATAAGAGCTCAGAGAGGGGTGAACTGCCTCATTCATCCCAGTGCAGAGTTAGTTCTGAAAACTGAACATGACAATTCAAACGCTGACCTTGTTAAATGTTTCCCTCATCTTTATCCTTATTTATATTTACCTTATATACATGTGCTTGTGCCACAACCCCAGCTGCCTCGGTCCCAACTCAGCTGCCAATGCCTGAAATGCCCATTACACAGCTGCCAACCATCCAGCTTCCCTTCACCAGCACCAATTTCTCTGATCTAATAAAAATGATAATCCGGGAAGTGTGTAAAATATGTTGGGGCAGATCCACAGCTGGTGTAAACTGGTATTGCTCTGTTGGCTTCCATGGAGATGTGCTGATTTAAACCAGCTGACAATCTGCCCCACTGAATAATGCACCAGTGCTACTGTGCTGACAGACAGAAATATGAAAATGAATAATAGGATCTCAAATACTTACGTGGCTCCCATTACCACAGTGCCTGAGTCCCTGGCAAGCTTTAATGTATTTATCCTCCCAGCACCCCTGTGAGGTAGGGAAATGCTATTAATCCCATTTTACAGATGGGGAAGTGAGATGCAGAGAGACCAAGTGACTTGCCCAAAGTCATACAGTAAGTCTGTGGCAGAGCAGGAAATTGAATCCAGGTCTCCCAAATACCAGGATAGAGACCTAACCTCTAGACCAACTGTCCTCTCTAGTTCAATAAACCCCACTATTTTGGAACAGAAATCTAGACAGTGCAGAAGGCAGGGCTAAACTGCCATTACAATGCACAAGTGACAATGGAAAAGCTCCTGGATCACCTTTGAAGTGTAGGATTTTTTTCGTTTTGAGCCTGCTTTTTCATTCTTTCTTTTGCCTTTTCCATCCTCTTCTACCCGATCACCTTCCTCCTCGCTGCTCGCATCGGCCGTATTTCCTCCTTCTCCCTCAGTTTCTGACGAGCTCTGTTGCTGGATTGCCTTTGAAATAATAAATAATAATTATTATCATCAACTAAAACTCCTCCCAAATAATTAATTTTTGCCATGTCCCATATTGCACCGGGAGATCCTAAGAAGAGAGAGCTTGCACTTTAATCATTTTACTCAGGAATAAATTAGCCTGATCTTACAACCATCAAAATAGAGGGCTGGCAGGGGCAATTTCCTCAGTAGCCACTTGAAAACAGTTATCAGATGCATTTTCTGAGATGACAAGCTCAGAAAGGTTTACTGTAGGGCTGTCAAGTGATTAAAAAAATTAATCGTGATTAATCGCACTGCTAAACATTAATAGAATACCATTTATTTAAATATCTTTCTATATTTTCAAATGTATTGATTTCAATTACAACACATAATAAAAAGTCTAGAGCGCTCACTTTATATTTATTTTTGTTTACAAGTATTTGCACTGTAAAGAACCAAAAGAAATAATATTTGTCATGTACTGCAGTGCAATCTCTTTATCATGAAAGTTGAACTTACAAATGTAGAATTGTGCAAAAAAAAAAAACTGCATTCAAAAATAAAACAATGTAAAATTTTAGAGCCTGCAAGTCCACTCAGTCCTACTTCTTGTTCAGCCAATCGCTCAAACAAGGTTTACATTTACAGGAGATAATGATGCCCGCTTCTTGTTCACAATGTCACCAGAAAGTGAGAACAGGAGTTCTCATGGCACTGTTGCAGCCAGCGTCGCAAGATATTTACATGCCAGATGTGGTAAAGATTCATGTGTCCCTTCATGCTTCAACCACAATTCCAGGGGACATAGTCCATGCTGATGACTGATTCTGCTCGATAACAATTCAAAGCAGCGTGGACTGACGCATGTTCATTTTCATTATCTGAGTCAGATGCCACAGCAGAAGGTTGATTTTCTTTTTTGGTGGTTCAGGTTCTGTAGTTTCCGCATTGGAGTGTTGCTCTTTTAAGACTTCTGAAAGCATGCTCCACACCTCGTCCCTCTCAGATTTTGGAAGGCACTTCAGATTCTTAAACCTTGGGTTGAGTGCTGTAGCTAATTTTAGAAATCTCACATTGGTACCTTCTTTGCATTTTGTCAGATCTGCAGTGAAAGTGTTCTTAAAATGAACAACATGTGCTGGGTCATCATCCGAGACTGCTATAAAATGAAATATATGGCAGAATGCAGGTAAAACAGAACAGGGGACATACAATTCTCCCCCAAAGAGTTCAGTCACAAATTTAATTAATGCATTATTTTTTTAACAAGCATCATCAGCATGGAAGCATGTTCTCTGGAATGGTGGCCGAAGCATGAAGAGGCATACAAATGTTTAGCATATCTGGCATGTAAATACCTTGCGACGCAGCTACAGAAGTGCCATGCAAATGCCTGTTCTCACTTTCTGGTGACATTGTAAATAAGAAGAGGGCAGCATTATCTCCTGTAAATGTAAACAAACTTGTTTCTCTTAGTGATTGGCAGAACAAGAAGTAGGACTGTGTGGACTTGTAGGCTCTAAAGTTTTACATTGTTTTGGTTTTGAGTGTAGTTATGTAACAAAAATAAAATCTACATTTGTAAGTTGCACTTTCAGGACAAAGAGATTGCACTACAGTACTTGTATGAGGTGAATTGAAGAATACTATTTCTCTTGTTTAACATTTTTACAGGGCAAATATTTGTAATAAAAATAATATACACTTTGATTTCAATTAAAACACTGAATACAATATATATGAAAATGTAGAAAAACATCCAAAATATTTAATATATTTCAATTGGTATTCTATTGTTTAACAGTGTGATTAAAACTGCGATTAATTGCAATTAATTTTTTGAGTTAATCGCGTGAGTTAACTGTGATTAATCGACAGCCCTAGTTTACAGAGAAACACAAGTGATGGTGATGGCAGAGTGGAGAACTAATGACTCAGTCCAATAGGATTTATCTGTCATTTTCCAGGTTTGTGCCGGGCAATGCAAACTCAGAGATCTTGGCTGCATGGGCAAGCGACCCAATCAGTAGAAAGGGTCGCAGCCCAAAAAACCAACATCTCCCTAGAGGGAAATTTCAGATCCGACCAGGATGTGGAGAACTCTCCCACGCTCCTTCTCCAGCAGTCCAGTGGCTCCCTAAACCCCACCCCTATCAACATTCAGATCATCCAGTGTGTGGAGGTGGCACTCCTCACTGGACATATGGGGCTTGGGGCAGAGACCTGGCAGGAAAATGTCCTGACTCATGTGGTAGGCAGAGACCACCTTTGGGAGGAATGAAGGATGTGGGCAGAGCTGGACCTTATCCTTATGGAACACCGTGTACAGGGGCTCGGAGGTCAAGGCCCTGAGTTCCGAGACCCGCCTAGCCGACGTGATCGCCCAGGAAGGCTACCTTCCATGAGCGGTGCAACGAGGAGCACGTAGCTAGCGGCTCAAACGGGGGGCCCGTGAGGTGGGCCAGCACCAGGTTCAGGTCCCACTGTAGGACTGGGGGCCTGACGTACGGGAAGAGACGATCCAATCCCTTAAGGAATCGGCCAGTCATAGCATGGGAGAATATCATGTGGCCCTGCACCAGCGGGTGGAAGGCCAATATGGCCGCCAAGTGCACCTTGACAGATGAGGGCACCAGGCCCTGGGCTTTAAGGTGAAGGAGGTAGTCCAGAATGAGCTGGATTGGGGCAGCCACAGGGGAAATGCTCCGCTCATCTGCCCATCGGGAGAACCGAGACCACTTTGTGAAGTAGGCTCGGCGCGTGGAGGGTCATCTGCTTTCCAAGAGGATGCGCTGAACCTCTTCCGAGCACGTCCTTTCCTCCCAGCCTAACCATTGAGCAACCACGCCGTGAGGTGGAGTGCCACTAGGATGGGGTGGAGGAGGTGGCCCTGGTCCTGGGAGAGCAGGTCCGGGCAGGATGGCAACGGCCCCGGCGGGGCAACTGCTAGGCCCATGCGGGTCCCGTACCAATGCTGCCTGGACCATGCCGGGACAATCAGTAGGACGTGGGCCCTGTCTGTTTTTATCTTTTCCAGGACCTTGCCTATCAGTGGGAATGGGGAGAAGGCATAGAGAAAACCGGCCTGACCAGGACAGGAGGAAGGCATCAGAGATAGCGCCCCGTCCCAGCCCCCCCGGAGCAGAACCGGGGACAGTGACGGTTCTGCCAGGTTGCAAGCAGGTCCACCTGGGGAGTTCCCCACTCTTGGAAAAGTATGTAGACCACCTCTGGGTGAAGGGACCACTCGTGCTGAGAGGAGAAATCCCCGCTCAAGCGATCCGCCTGCGAGTTCCGGGCGCCCAGTAGGTGGCAGGCCTGTAGGCAAATGTTGTGGGCTATATAGAGGTCCCACAGCCTGAGGGCTTTGCAGCAGAGGGCAGAGGATCGGGCCCCGCCTTGCCTGTTGTTGCAAAACATCGAGGCCGTGTTGTCTGTCCAGGTGCGAGCGGAAGGCCATGCACGCCAGCCGCACCGCCCTGAGCTCCTTGACATTTATGTAGAGGGCCAGGTCCTGTGCAGACCACAGACCTTGGGTCTGAACGTCCCCCACATGGGCTCCCCACCCCAGGTCTGATGCATCGGACACCAGTTCCATCGACACGGGCCTGCCTCTGAATGGGACCCCGTGGAGCATGTTCCCCGGGGAGGACCACCATCGTAGGGAGGTGATCACCAGTTCAGGCACAGTGAGGACTTTGTCCATCCCGTCTCTGGTCTGGGAAAACGCCGAGGCCAACCAGAGCTAGAGGGGCCTCATCCTGAGTCTGGCG